TTTACTTCTTCCATTCTGACTTATCTGACTTCCTAGATAGGTACCTAAAATCAGCGATTTCTTCTAATGTTTCATCTCCTATCTTTATATTAATCTTTCCCTACTTTTTCTTCCCTTACATAGCAATATTCTTGTCTAACTTTTATTTACTTCCATACCGTGTGGTTCTATCTTATATTATAAAATTAAAGGTATACATTCCACTTGTTGTCCGGATTGTTTAAAAATACGTCAAAACCCTTCGGGAACAGGACCACACGACAATATTTTCTTACCCGACTTCTTACGGGACGTTTTAATGTAACACATATTATATTTCCAGAGTTGAGACCATAAAATAATTTATGAAATTACTTTTTAATTTTACTTCATTTTCGAAGTCTTCAAAATCTCTTCCTTGGTGAGAAGTTCGTCCATTTTAAAATGTTTTAGGGGTGCAGTTGGTGTGTTCGCTTTAAAGGAATCGCTTATTGCACACAACTTTTGAAGCTACGTCTGTTATACAGGCAACATCTCTATTCATAAAGAAACGTTACGTCGTATAAGGATAAAAGGGAGACAGAGAGAGACGGAGAAAGAATGTGAGCTTATGAGAGGTGCGTGTAGGCAAAACTGAGTCAAAAAAATGTCAAGCAGAGCACTTGGCGCCTGTGTAATAATTTTGATACAAGTCATAATATGTTTTCGTATTTGGCCTGTCATGACAATGTCGCATGTGTAAGTGTGCGCGATAAAATACAAAAATGAAATATTTAGTCGTTTTTACTTTATGGCGGCGGTCGCCTTCTAACCGGGCAACATTAATAATATCTCACGGTGTGTTTTATTAAAGGCTTGATTTTTTGGAACAGATTATGACCAGGAACATGAATTAAGCGACTACGATGGCAGTTTTCTACGAAACGGAAAAACATTTCGAACTTTTGTGTGGGAACTCCTTTACCGAATGGCGCGACACCTATCGAAAACAATATAAACTATCAAAAAAAAAAAATAACGAAATGTGTATATACGCATATATAAAACTCGATATCCGAAAGGACAAAATTTGCAAAAGGAACATCCCTGACTGAAAAAGTAAAAAGAACTTCCCGACTAGAATTTTTGGGGGGTATGCCGCATGTAGTGTGCGGGCCTCATTTGGCTAATAAGTTTCATGCCGATATAGAGATTTTCCCGTAGATTCCTCATGAAAATCCTACCAAAAAGTATGGTGATACTAAAATGAGAATTTCCTAATGGGTTTTTCATATGGGCCTTTAGGGGCAAACCTTTATTTTTACAGTTATACAGGTTTAATCGTATTTTCTTGATGGATTAAGTAGAAATTTGAATTTTTGCTAATATTACACTCTTTTTTACTTAATACACTATAATAAAAATAAGTTGTACTTACAGCCTATTACGTCCAGTGTCCAATCGAAAGGAAAGCATGAAACAAAAACACAAAAATAGTTAAAATTACTTATAGTTAACGAATTGTATTATAAACAAGATTTTAAAAATGTCGCAGGAAAATTTACTACTTATTTCATTTTTGATGATATTCTAACAGTAATTTTTAATGATGATCAACTAACGATAAGTAACAATTCATAATACGACTCGGATAGCAAAGGAAAGGATAGAAACGGGATTTGAGCAAGAAGGAGAAAATTAAAAACAAACAACACATTTTATTGGATCTTGTTAAATAAAGATATTTAGTTTAAAGAAAATCGCTTCTTAGTATTTTCATTTAGGCTAAGAAGGTGGTAGCTGAAAGGGTATAAGTACGTACATCCAAATATGTAAATAAAATTACGTAAAATCCTTGGAAATCTTATCAGTAGAATTTATTTACATATTTATAAAATACAACTGTAGGGAATTTTGTCATTTCTCAGCGAGATTCTATTCATTTTTGGGAGGTTGTACGTACCGCTTCCACAAAATTGATAAAAATTTAATAAAACTTCCAAGATATGTAAATTTTTAAGGGACGAAAATCCAAATATAAGGTTTATTAAGACTACAATTAACGTTTTGTTATCAGTTGTGAGATTTCTTTAAAATAGATTTTTAATAAATTTAATGAAATATAATTAATAACACTACGTCCTGGAATATGAGTGATAACACTATGTATATTGCACTGTAAAAGGTGTAGAGTTTATTCACAATATTATAATACGTTTTGTGTTTACTTCTTTCTGTATTTTTTCAGTCGATATTATTTTCTTAACTCAACGTATTATCACATATTACCTGTCCCTTTGAAACAAAGTCTAGTTACAACCGTGGGTCAAATTAGGAAAGAAAAACACTACTTTTCTGTTAAATTGTTGTCATTAGTTTCGCAATTAAGTTTAATCATTTATCGAAAGTGAATAGCAATTTGCGATAAAATCGTGCGTGATTACCGGTCAATTAGTTAAAATACGTCAGAGTTCTTTTTCGTTTTAATGGGTTTTCTTGATTTATCAAATTTCCGGCCGGGACGAAATAATAGAAAAATATAAATATCCACGAAACGTTGACGGATCGTAATGAGGTAGTAATTTCGGTCATAAATGATAAACACATGGATGTTGATCAAACTAACAGATAAAACAATATTTATCGACATGACTCAAGCGACGTTATTTAATAAGCTGAAAACCACTTGTTGAGTGCCAGGTGAAAAACAGGTATAATACTTATCTGAAAATATGTTTTATTTTACGACTTTTTAATTTGTGTAGACGTATTACAAGAGACGAAATGACAGGGGGGCGGGTCCCTTACGTGAAAATTATACTTAAATGTTGTAAATTACATGGGGTTCTTTTATTGCTGAAAGGTGAAAATTTAAAGACAACAAAAATTACCTGCGTCGGTTAACAAATAAACATATTAGTTGTGTAACAAGCACTTACCTACACCGATTTCTCAAGAAACCTTAGATCATAGAACTTCCTGAGAAGACAGTTAAGGGGTGGCAATTTTTAGTAGTTCGAAAAAAAATTGAATGATACCATTTAAAATATTTTTTAATGCCATAACAAGGAACGTAGATGTGTAAAAATTATCTGGTTATTAATCAATAAACAGGATATTTCTCTAATGCTAACTAATATAATAAATTCGAATACGAATTAGTTTCTACTTTGCGTAGAATAATAGTAAACACTGTCCTTCTTTATCGAAATGAAAAGAAATTTTTATATCCTTCGGGAACAGTATTGTTTTTCTGGATAAAAGGTACCCCATGTCCTTTTCTGTACTTCTGAAGATGGGTGTACAAAATTTTATGATGATCGATTGAATAGTTAAGGCGTGAAATTGTAATAAACAAACAAAGAAACTCATATTCGAATTTATAATATTAGTTAGGACGATAAAAAGACATGAAGAGAAAAATATAACTTTAATGGATGTAGAAAAAGTATGGATAGCAAAGATGGTAAAAGAACAAAAATATTTATATGCAGAAGTAGGAGAGTTGTAAGAGACAAAATAGGATAAAACATAATTGTGAAGTGGAAACAGACCAGTTGGAAGAAGAAAGGCAAGAAAGAATAAGAAAAGCAAGTTACACAAAAAGGTGGAGGTAACTGGAACATCCAGAATAATTGACTAGAAAATTCCAAAAAACTATGCAGATTATGTGAAGAGAACGAAGGAGCAGCAGAACAAGTGATATCATTATGCAAAATATCAAGAACGGATTAAAATATGGAGAAAGTCATGACTTGATTAGGAGAAAAATTACGATAGATGAAGAAATGACAACAGTCAGAGAAAGAAATTCAGTGTAAACTCTATATAACGACACTTAAGGGACTGAACATTTTTCAGCGTTATAAAGAGTGGTCGTTAAATAGAGAGAAATAAAAGATATTATTTTACTATTCTACAATAATATGCATTTACCAATATAGTACACATTTTGCACACGAACATTATTATTCATACATTTGCGTACAGCCTGTTATCTTCGTCTAATGTTTTTTGCTGCTCCAATATTTTAATTGTATTTTGTTACGTACCTTACTCATATCTTGAGATACTGCTGGATCAATTTGATTATATAAAAAGTATTTTTTTAATAGTTTCGCTGCATAAAGTGCTTATTTGATGCTTGGTGGAGGGACAGGATCGTCTTCTTCAACAACGTACACAGCTGCAGTTCTTATCTATTTCGGCAACTTAGAAAGTACTGCTCAATGATTTATAATGCCGCATTGTTGTCGTTAAATAGAGTGAGCGTGACGTTATATAGAGTGTAATATTGTATAGAAAACAATGTAAACCAACCAAAGTCAAGCAATTTCGACGTTTTAAGGAGTTTGTCGTTAAATCGAGTGACGTTATAAACAGTTTACACTGTATATACAATAAATGTATTATTTCCCAAGCATACCATACATCCCTAAAGGGGTCATTATGTTAAAAAAAACATAGTAATTACTTAATTAAATAAATTGTACTTCTGTCTAAATAACCGATGTTTCTAATGAAATCATTTAAAAACTTTGTGTCTACAGTTTCATTTTATTTTTTCATAATATATCGTGACAAACTGATGTAAAGATTGTTCTGTTAATACAGTAACGGGTCATAAAAGCGAGATCGTTAAAAGAGACTTTCTGACCTTCGTATTAATCATTTTATTCCGCCAAAAGTAAACCGTGGCACGCAACAAGTTGTTTGTAATACGACCATCGGAGTTCAAAAAAAAAAAGAAAACAAGGAAAATTCTGTTTGACTGTTTCCTGAGCGAACGAAACGATGAAGAGATAAACCATATTAATTAATTAATTCAAAAGTGAATGCTACTTTGATATCAATATTAATTTATCAATCAATCAATAAATTATGATATTTTAAAGATCCCCTGTATAATTTGCGACTGTTTCTAACTTAAACGTATTAACAGGTTACCTCCTTCTCATAGAAAAATAACATGATTTTGTAGTTAACGTTCATAAACAGGATTCAATAAAAAAAAAAAACACGTAAATTGANGATCCCCTGTATAATTTGCGACTGTTTCTAACTTAAACGTATTAACAGGTTACCTCCTTCTCATAGAAAAATAACATGATTTTGTAGTTAACGTTCATAAACAGGATTCAATAAAAAAAAAAAACACGTAAATTGATTACATCAAGAGGATTGTACTTAGCGTCTTTAAATCCTGAATTTTCCACTTTCTGAAGGATCAAGATGTAAAAGATGTGGCAGGAAGGGACCTCAGGGTCTCGAAAAAAACAGTTAAAAACCGTCAAAAATGATTGATGATGATACGATGGCATCACCTAAACTACGTACCGTGAACGGGTCCTGAAACAAACAAAAAAGAATCAGAAAAGTATCTAAACAGGGCGTGAAATATTACGCATATATCTGTTTAAAATATCAATTTCGAAGTAGTTGTGTCAGTTGGACACGGGTAATTACATTGTAACAGGCCATCTATCATTTTCATTCCCGAATTGTCAACGCCGATCCAAGAGAAACACGAATGACATTTAAAGATCTCAACAGCTGTTAAATAAACAAACTAAATTAATTGACGGGATTTTGTTCGATCAAAACGCCATTTCATTTAAAATCGACCTCATAATCGATTGCCGATGATGTGACAGTTGTTATGAGTTACGGGTAATATGTTTGCATGTTAACAATCTAAATAATTACACGAACTCCTTACGACTTCATTACTTAACTGCTCTGTTCTCGATGTTCAATAATAGTTTGGAAATTTGATTGATCAATTTTACTTTTTGAACACCAGATATAAGCGCTAAGTGATGCGCGAAATTGGTAATTTCCCAAGACCAATACCAAGACTGTCTTTGTACTACTAGTAAGACCAAGACCAAGGCCAAACGAACAAGACCAAAACTAAACCAATATTGACCGAAGAGGACCAAGACTAAAATCAAAACCCAATATGCGAGATCAAGACCAAACACAAATAAGTAAATACCACAAATAATGCGGTAAACTCCATCTGTAGTACGATGCTACATTTTAGGATTACGTATTATACGATTACGGGAACGGGCCTATCACGTTGAGGTTAGCTACGCCGGGATTCGTTTCAGCAAGTAGATATCTATATATTTAAATAGACCTTGTTGGAGCATACGTAATCCTAAAATGTAGCATCGTACTACAGATGGCGTTTACCGCGCCATTTGTGGTATTTTCTAAAACGCACTGTTAAGTCAGTAGGTAAAAGTTGGTCTGTGTTCTGTCGGAGCTGTCTGCGACGCGCCGATGAGATCCAAGAAGATCGAAATCGCGATCCGCGTCTGGCAGTTTCGACAGATTACAGACCACTTCGAATTATTTTACACAAATAAGTAAGTTTTTTTTTGTTCCTATATCTGAGAAACACAACAGAAATTTTTTTAATGCCTACAGATAACTTTCACTATATGCCAGTGATCAAACCGTTTGGTTTTTAAAAATCTCTACACACAATCGTGGACTGTTCTTGTTTTTGTTAGTTAAGAATCAGGCGAACACATCAGTTTTTTAGATAAAAATCTCTTGCATATAATCTGATATTGCTAACCCTAAGTGTTTCTAGAATTTTAATGCAAGTCTATTAAAAAAGTTGGATTCAAAGACCGCAGGCCGCAGTTACCTTTTTATAACTCAATTTTCTTCTCCCAATTTACTGTCTTCTTATTATTAAGTTGTTAAGTATCTTTGTCGTCGGTCTGGTATTGCGTGATGGCATCATTTATTTTGCGGTCGCAGCTTCCGCCGGCTCGCCTTGTAATCAGTGCAAATCGAACAATTATTGGCAATCAATGATCCGATAATACATAATGTGCTCGCTGCGTTCTCGGCCCGCTACGATTTATTACCGGTTACTATTAATAATGATATTACACAAACCGTTTGATCAGTCATGTGGTTGATTATTTTTGAAATAAGCACGTTTGAGGGTGGGTATTATACGTATTTCCCAATTTTCCATATAGGAATAAATCAATAGCAACTGTTCCAATACAAAAGTGACAAAAGCACAAAATAATAGTACATAACTACTTGTACCAGACTCGTTTACAAAACTGAATTTGATAATGCTATTAAACATTAGCAACAAAACAAAATAAACGGTAAATATTAAAAATCAGATGAAAAATAAAAATGTTTCACCATTTCACCAGCTCAGTTAGCAATTTTTTAACATTAATTTCCATTATCTTCCAGATCCATTTTGTGCTAAAAATATGTTAACTTTTAGGGATTTAAATTCTAGAAAAAAAACAGCAACGTTTCACCCTTCGATTGAGGGTTTTTTCAAGAAAATTGTCGAGTCAAAAAATAAAGTACAAAATCTTCTCCTTGATAGCAGTGATAATAAATTTAAAACATAACCTTAACAATAACTTATTCTTTAAAAGTTTTGAACATTTTCGAAAACCGCCACATTGTACAACGTTACTCAATACACACTTTATTTTTTGACTCGACAGTTTCCTTGTTAACACCCTCAATCAAAGGGCGAAACGTTGAAATTTTCGACTAATAAAGTGGTTTTTCCACCTGAAAAAGTTCACATATTGGTAGCACATTACTTGTTATTTTTTGGGAATCAGTAATTTAACTTTAACTTAACAGTAAATTTTGTTATAAACTAATTAATTTTGGAAAATACCACAAATGGCGTGGTGAGCGCCATCTGTAGTACGATGCTACATTTGAGGATTACGTATGCTCCAACAAGGTCCATTTAAAAATATGGATATCTACTTGCTGGTAAGACAGCAGGTAAAGGTTGGTCTGTGTTCTGTCGGAGCTGCCTGCGACGCGCTGATGAGATCCAAAAAGATTGAAATCGCGATCCGCGTCTCGCAGTTTCGACAGAATACAGACCACTTCGAATTATTTTGTTCGATTATGGTAACGTGCCTATCACGTTGAGGTGAGCTACGCCGGGATTCGTTTCAGCAAGTAGATATCCATATTTTTAAATGGACCTCAAATGTAGCATCGTACTACAGATGGCGCTCACCACGCCATTTGTGGTATTTTCTAAAACGCGCTGTTAAGACAGCAGGTAAAGGTTGGTCTGCGTTCTGTCGGAGCTGCCTTCGACGCGCTGATGAGATCCAAAAAGATCGAAATCGCGATCCGCGTCTCGCAGTTTCGACAGAATACAGACCACTTCGAATTATTTTGTTTAATTAATTCTAAAATGAAATACAAAATATCTATAATAGGTAATAATAACAGGTAATACAACAAGAAGGATCTCTTTCTTTTCCAAAGGATGGACACAATGCATTTGTGTTTAAAACTCTTAAGAAAATAAAGCTCATTATTTTGAAGAGAACAGTCATTAATCTCTCTCAAACGTGTTGATATACTACGACAAATTGACGAAAACAAATTGTCCTGAAAGATGTTTATCGCCATCGAGAGAATGAAACGGCTGGCGCGCACAGCCTGAGAGCACACACACGAAATCACGTTCCTACTCTTCATACAGAGTTTTATTTATTCCCGGATTGTTTCAATTTATTTTTAAAAACAATTTCACAGTAAAAACATAAATACGCGACCAGAAGCAATAAATATCAAAACAAATTGAATACACAGAAAAAGGATGAAATGGAATAAATAATGTTGAGTTACAGTAAATACAAAAATATTACGTATTTATATAGTAGAATTCGTTTATTATGACTCCGCCTATATTGACCAACCGCTTAATATGAAGTAATTGCACTGTTAAGTTTGGTCTTCATATTTAATTCTCTATAGGAAAGTTTGGATATAATGACTCCGTTTAAAACGGCATATCGTTTATTATGACTGATTCTCAATAAATCGTATCCGGCTATAGTGACCCAAATGATGGACAACAACATTTTCGCTCATTTTTCTGACCCTTTCCACTCCTGCTCCTGCAAGGAAGTTTGATGCGTTAGTAGCGCGTGGCTCGTTTTTCTTTTGATTTTCAGTGACGAGTTGATGGTTCAAGAATACGTATGTATTGTTATTGTTATTTATGCAAAAATGTTGTGTCCAAAAAGTTGTTTCTTTTCTAAGACTATGCTTTGTATGACGCCCGCTTAGTATGACGTGTTTGTCATTTCCCTTCGATGTCATTATAAGCGGATTCTACTGTAATGACAAATAAAATCTAATAGGTATACTGTCTGTTTTTTGATGGCTACGCCACTGCTAGCCTTTATAATCTACATTTTTTTACAGCAAAGCCGAGTACAATATTGATGCAGAAGCAATTTAGTTTTAATAAAGTACAACCTATTAAGTGACTTCACCGAAGGTAGTGATTCCCTATGGGAATTTATCCTGAAACAAACGCGTATCGTGGCTTAAATTATGTAATAAAGTACCCTGAGCAATATACGCTTAATATACACGTTACTCCGAAAAATTACTATGCTTACCGAAGCGGCAAGTTAAAGTGTCAGAAATTGTACGGTTCACTGCGTTATTACCGCTTTTAATTCACACTATTTTTGAAATTTAGGATAAAAATCAAAATAAAAACATGAAAACACGGTACGGTGCTGTCGGTAAAAATCATTTTAAATTTAATGACTCGAAATAAAAATGTTCAGTCTCTCAGTCTCTGAAAGCGAGACTCGAGTCTCCGTCTCTCATCGAGTCTCTTTGGTGTCGCTGAGAGAGACTGTCAAAAAAACTGTTTAGCGTCTCTCATAGAGATCCTCATTTCGTATCCAGTCTCTGAACGAGAGACGAGTCGCTCATAGAGAAATCCTCATTTCGTATCCAATCTCTGAACGAGAGACTCGAATCTTTCAATAAGTGGGGTCTCGATAGGCATGGTTAAAATTTTTTAAGTTCAACATATTTCAGAGATCCCAGTCTTTCTACGAGAGACTCGAGTTTCTCAATTTTTCAGTTTTATTCATTTAGTCTCTCTGTGAGAGACTCGAATCTCTGAATTAATAATTTTATCGTTCTAGTCTCTCATACAGAGACTGTGAGAGATCCATAAAAACACCTAGGCAATAACTGAGAGACTGTGAGAGACGCTCTCAGAGACGCTGAAAGACTCTGACACTGGAGAGAGACTGAAAATTTTTGTTTAGGGAATTTAGTAAGAGAAGTGCAGCCGTATCTCTCCATCCAAGATGAACATTGAATAATTAACTTTTAGGAAATTTTCTAGCTATGAAACATCTACAGGGTGGACCGACATACCCCACTAGAATTTCTAGTGTGCGGGCCTCATGTGGTTAATGAGGGGCATGCCGATATAGGGATTTCCCCGTAAATTCCTCATGAAAATCCTACCAATAAAAGTGGTTATACTAAAATGA